ATATCCAAATTTTGAAATATCTTGTCAGGTCTTCTGGTTTCTTTCAGATCACCAGTTCTTTTTTTGGTCCAAATCTTATTTCATTATCCACTATCTTCTAGTTTGCTGAGAAGAGCACCATCAGCTCTGACTTCTTCATGTTTATTTCTATATCATTGATTTCAAAAAACTCATTTGCTATATCTATAATCTTGTCTAGCTCTTTTTTATTTCTTGCAATGTATACTATATTATCTGCATATGTAAGTATTGGCACTCTCAGATCTTGTATCTCTACTATATTTCTACTTATATCTTTAGGCCATGTTACCTCTATTGTATAGCTAGTTTCTTTGCTTTTTTGTATATATGTCAATAGTAGATCATAGAATATTCTTTAAACTAGAGAAAAGATTACTTCTCCCTGATCTATGCTGTCTTTAGCTCTGAATCTTTCTGTGTTTCCATATTTTGTAATTATCTTTATTTCTCTGTTTTCATACAGGTTTGTTATAAAGTCCTGAGTTTTCTGAGATATCTTGATTCTTTTTAAGGCTAGTTTCAGCATTTCTATGCTAACTAAGTCGAAAGCTTTCTTCATGTCTTGAAATAAGATCTAGAGTTCTTTCTTATTTTCTCTTGTGTCTTCTACTATGCTGTTTAATATCTGTATAGATCCTGCTGTTTCTTCTTCTGGTAGGCCAGTATAGTTTCTTTCTTTCAAGATTTCCTTCTCCTTTAACTTTCTTTCTAGCCTGTTATTTAGTACTTGTACTACTGTTTTTCTGAACGTTTTTAGCAGCAAAATATGATAGATATTGTTGAAGTTATAATTCCAATCTTTTCTTTTTGGAATTGGATACAACAAACCAATTTTCCATTTTTTTGGTATTTTTCCTAGCTTAAAATATTTGTCTGTTAGTTTTCTGAATAGTTCTTCTGCAAAAGCATTCGTGTTTTTGATGAGTGGATAGGAGATTCCTGTAGGGCTGGGTGTAGAGGAATTCTTTGTCTGTTCTAATGCTTCTATACAGTCTTCACTAGTTATCTTATTAGCTAGGTCTTTGTACCAATTTTCCTGAATGCTTTTGCAGAAGAACTATTCAGAAAACTAACAGACAAATATTTTAAGCTAGGAAAAATACCAAAAAAATGGAAAATTGGTTTGTTGTATCCAATTCCAAAAAGAAAAGATTGGAATTATAACTTCAACAATATCTATCATATTTTGCTGCTAAAAACGTTCAGAAAAACAGTAGTACAAGTACTAAATAACAGGCTAGAAAGAAAGTTAAAGGAGAAGGAAATCTTGAAAGAAAGAAACTATACTGGCCTACCAGAAGAAGAAACAGCAGGATCTATACAGATATTAAACAGCATAGTAGAAGACACAAGAGAAAATAAGAAAGAACTCTAGATCTTATTTCAAGACATGAAGAAAGCTTTCGACTTAGTTAGCATAGAAATGCTGAAACTAGCCTTAAAAAGAATCAAGATATCTCAGAAAACTCAGGACTTTATAACAAACCTGTATGAAAACAGAGAAATAAAGATAATTACAAAATATGGAAACACAGAAAGATTCAGAGCTAAAGACAGCATAGATCAGGGAGAAGTAATCTTTTCTCTAGTTTAAAGAATATTCTATGATCTACTATTGACATATATACAAAAAAGCAAAGAAACTAGCTATACAATAGAGGTAACATGGCCTAAAGATATAAGTAGAAATATAGTAGAGATACAAGATCTGAGAGTGCCAATACTTACATATGCAGATAATATAGTATACATTGCAAGAAATAAAAAAGAGCTAGACAAGATTATAGATATAGCAAATGAGTTTTTTGAAATCAATGATATAGAAATAAACATGAAGAAGTCAGAGCTGATGGTGCTCTTCTCAGCAAACTAGAAGATAGTGGATAATGAAATAAGATTTGGACCAAAAAAAGAACTGGTGATCTGAAAGAAACCAGAAGACCTGACAAGATATTTCAAAATTTGGATATCGAAAAAAGCAAAACAGAAGCATATGTGTGAGATTATTAAAAAAGAAGTACAGGCGATAGTAAAGGGGCTAAAAAAGAAGAAAATATCCTTGGCACATATGCAGTATATCAATAACAGGGTGCTGATATCAAGAATAGAATACAGAAGTCAGCTCTATATCCTTCCAAGAGAAGTTTGCAACAGACTACAGAGCCCAATCTTTATGCTAATTAAGAACAAAGCAAAGATGACATATACAATGCTAAATGCAGCTATAGTACACTGAAACATAGTGGGAATAAGGACAATTTGGCAGAACCAACTAGCCTACTATATCACAGAACTAACTGCTAGGTTAAACAACAAACAAGACATAGACCGAGCTATGTGGCTAAGAATTATACAAGCACAATTGAATCTTAAAAGCAGCAAATGCATCCTAGATCTTAGTTTGCAGAGGATAGAGCAAATAGACATCAAAAACAATTTATACTATAAAATAATTAGAAAAGCAAAAAAATTAGAAATCAGCATTAGGTCATCAGCAATAGAAAGAAATTTAGAAGTTATAGAAGGTGGAACAGAAATAGCAGGCATTTTGGAAAAGAAGTATAGACCAAGCTTCAGACAAGAAAAAACAATGAATGTCTTCATACTTGAACAATTACTAAATAGAGAAGGAAACAAACTGTTTATATGAGACTAGACTAAGAAACTCAGAGGTTGTAATAGCAAGAAGAAAAAAACAAAATGGTTCTAGGAACTAGAGAAAATGGTGCTAGAAAGCGAAAATGACAAAAGAGTAAAAGCAGAATTCTACAGAGGTCCAGAAAATTACAAATCAATCGAAGCAAAGCTATGTAGGATAAGTAGCGATAAAAGAAGACAGAAATGGATTATATACAAAGAAGAGAATAGAAATGCCGAGGTCGAAAGAATAATAAATAAAAAAGAAGATAGAAGGTACGAAATAAAGCATTAGAATAGAAATAGTATATCTAAACCAGATAAAATATTTCTAGATCCATGCAAAGGTTGCACAAAAAGAAACAATAAGGAAGAGCCCAGTATATGCCAAATCAACAAGCAGTTTAAAGGAATAAGAAGAGATCTAGATCATAGTTGAATCAATAAGAGCAATGATGATAGCCAAACAAAATACAAAATAACAGTGCTATGAAAGAACTTAGTGAAAATGAAAGAACCTTAAGCAGTAATAGAAGCAAAAAGAAGAGCAGAAAGACAAATAACAGAGATAAGAATAGGTTCTGTCATTGAAGAAATAATACAAAGCTGTATAGACGGAGTAGAAGCAGTAGCAGATCTAACAGTAATTTCAAAAGACATTATAAAGTATAAAACATTTGAAGTATATACCGATAGCTCATTACTAGAACTGCAAGAAACAGCAAGTGAAACCAAGATGGGAGTAGGTAGATCTTACAGACGCAAGAAGAAAGACTATTAAAGAAGGTAGCAGTTTTAATTGTGCTATGATAGGCTGGCTCTCATTAACAAGGGCAGAGCTAGACACAATCCTGACTGTGTTTTTAGTCTTGCCAGAAGGAGCATCTATAAAGATATATATAGATAACCAAGCAGCAATTCAAGCAGTTCAAAAAATGACAAAAATAAAGAAAATATGCAGCTATCTCAAAATGAAGAATGAAAATATTTTGGAACAAATAGAATATATAAAAAAAAAAAAGCAATTAAAGTTTAAACTGCACAAAGTGAAAGGACACAGTGAAATAGAAGAGAATGAAGAGGCAGATAAACTAGTAAAAGAAGGTGCAAGATCAAACAAGATCATTGAAGTACAGCTACCATAGACCAAGCTAATTGTCTGGAGCGTAGAGACAGACTCATACTTCTATGCTGTTTGATGACTGAAACTACGTTTTTAACACATTTATAGTAAAAATATCAAAAACATAGTTTGTGCATTTTCCAGATGTAATGCCACATACCTTTATTTGAATAATCGTGTAATAAAAATATATTACGCGTTTAGCAGCTAATCGTATTAGCATAATCATTTTCGATCTTTTTTTTTTATTTCAATCTTTATTTCTTTATTTCGATCTTTTTTTTTTTACTTTGATCTTTTTTTTTTTCAAAGATTTTTTTTTTTTATTTTTTTTTTTATTTCAATCTTTTTTTTTACTTTTTTTTTTAATAAATTTATTATTTTTAATGACAGATCTAGGGTAAGTACTGTAATTTTATTGCTTTGCTTTTTTCTCTTAAACTAATATTAACTCTATTCCTTCTTTTCTTCGCTAGTTAGGAACCGGAACTGGTACAAAAAGATAAGTACCAGTTCTTCTTTTGATCTTTTTGTTTTTTTTCAGTTTAATTTTCGTTTCACTAACAATTCTACTTTTGTAGGTTCGTGTTATATTAGGGTACTGGAATAGCGCCGGAAATGGAGATTCGGGAACCGGAACTGGTACAAAAAGATAAGTACCAGTTCTTTTTTTGGCTTTTTTTTTCATTTTTTCGGTTTCTTTTTCGTTTCACTAACAATTTTTCTCTTGTAGGTTTGTGTTATATTAGGGTACTGGAATAGTATCAGAAATGAAGATTCAGTAACCGGAACTGGTACAAAAAGATAAGTACCAGGTTTTTTTTTTTTTTTTTTTCGTTTCACTAATAATTCTTCTCTTGTAAGTTCGTGTTATATTAGGATAATGGAATAGCGCCAGGAATGGTGATTCGGGAACCGGAACTGGTACAAAAAGATAAATACCAGTTCTTTTTTTTTGTTCTTTTTGTTTTTCAATTTATTTTTCGTTTCACTAACAATTTTTCTCTTGTAGATTCGTGTTATATTAGGGTACTGGAATAGTAGATTCGGGTTCTTTCTTCGTCATAGTAAATTTTGTGCTTCTTCGTTGCTGGTGTCATCGAGTTCGAAGGTTCTTCATTAGTTCTTCTTTCGTGCTAGTGTCGTCAAATTTGGTGATTCTTCTTCGTCACTGGTGTCGAATTTGGTGATTATTCTTTCGTCGCTGATGTTGTTGAATTCAGTTTAAATTCGGTGCTTCTTTTTCATTGATTCTTTCTTCGTTGCTGGTGTCGTCGAGTTCGGAAGTTCTTCTTTGGTTCTTTCGTGCTGATAACGTCGAATCTGGTGGTTCTTCTTCATTGCTGGTGTCGTCGAATTTGGTGGTTCTTGTTTCGTCGTTGGTGTTGTTAAATTTAATTTTAGTTCTTCTTTCGTCATTGGTGCCACCCGCTTTCTTCGCCATTAGGTCGTCCATTTTGATATTTGTTGGAGTGCTCTTTCTTTGACGCAAGTAAGTATTTCTTGGCTATTGTGTTGTACATTTCAGTGCCTCTTCTGTCGCTAATATTTTTTTATTACATCTATAATTTCTGGAACACCTGATAAATATTAGCCGAATGTTTTTTCGCCGATTTGATAAGTTTGTGGTCATGAAACGGGTCCAATTGGTTTTTAGATCAAGTTAAACTTGGCCCGGGTCAAATTGATCACTAGCAGAATTTTACGGGCCGGAATTGTGATGATGCCGATCGGGTTTTTTAATTAATCAATTTGACCTGAATCAAGTTTAATTTGATCTAAAAACCAAATTAACCCATAATATATATATAGGATTGGAAAATTACCGTAATTTTACGTAATTTTACGTAAATTTGTGTTTCTGAAATCAAAATTACATGTAATTTTGATGTAATTAATTTGGGCTAAAACAGGGACTCAGAATTTATGCGATAAGAATTTGTAAATTATGCATGATCATATAGGCGGAAATCTTCAATTTTGTGATTAGTTTGTGATTATATAAGTTGAATGATGAGATTAAATAGAATTTGAGCCAATAATATATATAATACAGTGTGATTACTAAGATTAAAAGTGATTATTTGTTGGTGATTGTAAAATTGCTTATGAATTGCTTTTGAGTTACTTATCAGTTACATATCAGTTTTTATGAGCAATGTACCGAACAGATCAGCTAAAAATAACCCAAAACTGATCTGTTACTTATCAGTTTTTATAAGTAGTAGATTATTCAAATGATCTATTATTTTGTTATATCACATAATTTTATATAGTCACCAGCACTCCACTAAAAATTTCCACCCATATGTATATTCAATGATTAAAAATTAAAAGTGTGATTTAATGATGTTTATTAAGCAATTTTATCTTGTAAAAAAATACTTGCGATTTTTTAAATACCATATTGTCTCAAAATGACGTCCCGGGTGTAGGTTAAAATTTTGGCCTGAATTAAGCTTGATTTAGACTGAATTAAGCTTAATTCGGGCCAAAATTTTAACCTACACCCCGGGGCGTTATTTCAAGGATCAGGTAAAATCGCCACCCAAAAAAATTTCGAAAATCATGACATTATCAATTCATCATGATAATAATAATATTTATAAGATATTAATTGATTTAGTAATTTTTTTTCAAAAATAAAAGCGATCATTTTATTTCGACAAAGTGATTCTTTTAAGTGAATAAAATTAAATATTTTAAAAATATACAGTACATCGATTGCTGTAACCAAAATTTTTACTAATAATAAACGAAAAAAAAGAATTAAAGTCGAAATAAAATTGTAAAAACTAATCAAGAGAATGCAGTTGCACCAGAAAACCTTGTAGATCTTATTTTTTATGCTCTTCCAGAAGACTATAACTATGATTATTTATTTGAGCAAAAAGTTTTTATAATTTTTGAATCCAGAACGCAACAAACAAAAAATTATTAGAGAAAACATAATGAATCCAAATAATAACAAATGTCTCGATAGTATTAATAAAAACTTAAAGCCATTGCATAAATTGAAAGAGGATTATAATCATTTTAAAAGGCAACATAACATTCTAAATATTTATAAAACCGTAATCATAGTACTTTCTAGCTATAATAAATATTACATTTATTGAGTTTATTCGAAATAAACAAATTGCTTATCATTATTTATTAATCCATAAATTTTTTTTCGTTTGTATTTATTGTTCAAGTTACATAAATTTTTGGTACTCGATATATTTGCTACGTAATGTTCGAAACTTTTTTGGGTGGCGATTTTACCCCGGTCTATTTCGAGACAATACAGACTGCAATTTTTTAAATACTGCGTTTAACTAAACAAAAACTTGTGATTTGCTATTTTTTAAATACTGCGCTTAACTAAACAAAAACTTGCTATTTGCAATTTTTTAAATACTATGCTCAACTAAACAAA